CAACAGATGCTTACTTCACACATCGTAAATATTGCAGACTATTTTGTGCCGTCTGACTGTTACTCAAAACGGGCTGCGGTACTGATAGGTGGTTTGAGAGAACAATTTAATGTATTTTCTATTTATATACAAGCATCATAAACGTTCTACTCTGAGAGCCCAAGGGAATTTGTTTCCCTCATAAGCAGCAGATTGCCAGTATTTTAATATTTTCTATGGATTACAAAATAGCAAGATGTTTCACATGGTCCACATCTGTAAATAATTTTTAAATTGTATCTAGTAGAGGTTATAATGGAGCAGCATCTCATTAATAAAAAAATTAATTGCAACAGCTGGATTGCAATGAAAACAACAAAGCTTAGGCCGGAGATACTCAGCGCATCTCACTGTCCAAATATTTTAGCCATGAAAATAGATCCTGAATCAACAAATTTGATTTGTATTTGGCATTCGAGAATCCTGGGCTGGACTTTACCACTATGGGCAAATCGCCCATCTAATTCATTTACTATGGAGTGGGCAAGTTGCCCACAGTGAAAAGTAAGGACCTCTGTGTCATTATATCACACTTTAGTCAAAGCAAACCTGAGAGTAGTGCCACATATAACCTTATAAATTTACCCCAGAGACAGACTATACCATGATGCAATTTTAATTAATACTGCTATTTGATTGGTAATGGAGCCTTTTAGAAGCACGTAAATTTGTGGAAGAGGACAGAAGATATTTCTTGGGTGAGGTGTTAAGCAAAACTCATTTTGAAACTGCTCTTTATCATGGAGGTGCTCCGACTTTCAGAAGTGTGCTAATGCTCCTTGCATTTGCTTCTTAAAATCAGTAGGACAGCAGTGTTTACAATGCAACTGTCATGGTTTTTTTGCTGTCTTCACAATTAACCTCTAAAGCTAGGCATGGAGCCAGCTCAAATGAGACTCAAAGCAGCAAAAAGCCCTTCAGGTAAACAGTATGATAAGCTTAGCTGCAAAAATTAGACATTGTTTTGAACTAAGAGGCAGTTGCTATAGAGACAGTTGCTAATTAACTGCATTCAGCCAAGAGAACAAAGGGCTTAAGGGCACTCAGGACGTTGTTTCTCATAGTGAGCAATGCATAACATCTTATGCAATCTGCGAGTCTCTCATAGCTAAAATACCTGAGCCTGTGCTTTGCTTGCAGATGCCATAAGAACAATGCGATCAACTAATCAAAATATTGAGTTGTGAGTGAACAAAAATAAACTCATTAAAGCCTGTTGTAATTTTGGGTTGCATGGTTTAAAATAAGTCTTAAAATGATACATAATGAAGTACCGCATCAACCCTGAGCACCACTTCAAATGTCTCTCATCGGCTCTGCAAGCAGATACGTTGCATCTTAAGCAAGGAATTACCAAAGTAGATGAATAAGTTCCATTTAATTATGGAAATTAACATACTGTACCATTAAAGTCAAATGCATATCCTAAATGGTAAATGTTTGCAGAATGCAACTCAAGAGGTGTCTACCACACCAAGATGTAGAATAACTGATTTGAACCAACGAGTACACCATTTAGAAAATGATTTCTTTGGCACACTGCTGTAACAATAGACACACCAATTATTTGAACACGGAAAAGCATATTACAGTAATAATCTGAATTAACAAAATGATCCATGCCTTGTTGATGCAGGATAAGATTTAAAAATCTGTGCAATGTCAGGTACAAAAACCCAAATTTTACTGGCACATTTATCCTTACAAAATAAACACCTAACTGAGAAAAGTCCAATCTCATCTCTCTATCAGATCTAAATCTGACTCACAGTTTGGATAGTGTTTGCGTGTGATTCAGCCTTTACATAAATGCAAATCTGTATGATTCTTATACATTAAAACTTTGTATTTGGCTTGCTTTAAGCTGTGGCCACCACGTTGTCAGGAACTCTGCTTTATTTTCTGAAATGGATCTGAAATTAAAAAAGGAAAGACTTAACTTAATTAATGCAAACTTTAAAAACTCAGTTCTTTTAAAATTACTAGTCTATCCAGACTACATTTTAGTTCAAACCAAAGCATAAAGACTAAGAACACTTTTTGTGGATATCCAGGAACAGAATGCAAACAACTTCCGTGACCGGGCACTAGGACCCAGAGGAAAGGTGACTGGAAAACGGCCCTCCTCTCTCTCTCTCAGTGAGTGGAATCACAGGCTGCACAGCCCAGCTCTCCAGAATCCCAGGCAACATTTCTGGAGCAGTGCAGGATGGCAGCGATATGCAGACCTTTAACTAGAAAGCAGTCTGATCCTCAAATAATGGCTTTTAAACACTTTACTGTGACCTCTAGAACCTACCCTCTTATGTTAAAAAAAAAACACAGAACAGTCTTGTAGACAAAAAACAAAAGAAAATAAACTGATGTCTCTTACATAAACAACAGGGGCCCTTTTTTTCCCCACAGAAACAATACTGCCAAAGCAAACCCCCTTTTCACAATAACCGATTCAAAAATCTGTTGTCCCTCATCGCAACCTCTGAAAGCAACTGACTTATGAGAAGTTACAGTACTCTACACACTTGCAGAGCTAATGAACTTTCAGTATTTAAGCATATTATGACTTACTATATTCCTCTAAAGTAAAATACATTGTCAAATTTTCATTTTCAGTTAGAAATACCACTGCATTGTCAGCACTGTGATTGCAATACCAGTTGAATAAACATGCAATCTGATACCTCACATATGGTAACACTGACCTCTAATCATTTCAATTGCATTCAAAATAGGTCTGAAACTTTAATACTGCATAAACTAAATACTGCATATTGTTTGCAAACACTGGTATATACCATCCTTTCTCAAGCTGGGAGTATTTATATGCAAATGCTACACAAATACACTGAAAGACAGAGAGATGTACACAGACTGACAGAGACAAATTAGTAGTGTGGCATCTGAAGTGTTATATTGTAAGTGTATTTGTGTATAACAGGCTTCACACATGTAATTTTTGTTAATACGATCTGCTCTTGTTTTGTTTAAACAAATGCAATATGTCTAGTAATGCAAAATACAATGGCAATCTCCTTCAAAATCCATCACATTTCACAAATGCTGCCTTTTGCTGTAAAATCTCAACTGTATTTCCCAAGTCTCGACAATGATATAGAAGGCTTATGACCACATCTGTTAAGCTTGTGATAGTCTCTATAGTGCTCATTCAGTTAACCCAACTCCTAACAATCATATAGTTTGGAAAAACAGACATGTAAAACTAAGGAAGCAGATTACATGTACTCAAGTGTTTTCACATTTTACCCCATGTTTTGCATTGGGAAAACTAAAACAAAATTCTTTACAAAAAGATTAAAAAGAATGTGTTTAATGCACTGACGCAAAAAATAAGACAAAAATACCAAAGTTGTATATTGGCTATATTAAAAGGGCTCATAATTATCAGGCAAGCACAGACATGAAGCTGAACTTCAACACTTCAGCCTAGAGGTGGGACTGCAGCCCTTAACGATTAAAAAAAACACATTGTTCACATAACTAACCTACAGGAGGTCTATCTTTTAAATCTGATTTAGGGTCAGTGAAATAGTTGGGGCTCAAATAAGGGGCTCCAGATAATTTTTGTACTTGTGGCCCAGTTGTGCAAGAGTAAAATGGATTTTCCACCTGTAGACTAGTCAGGACTACAATATGACAGTCTTAAATTTCTCTGAGCTCCCCACCAAAAGGACAATGAGTAGATCAATTTTTTCATGCTAAAATTAACCAAAAATACATTACTTAAACTATTTTAAAATCTTAATCAGTAACAAATGATACCCTATCACACTAAATATTTATGGAGTATTTTACATTTTCAAATTGTACTATTTACGGCTTCATAAATACCCTCCCCAAACCCCCCAAAATCACCTTCATGTTGAGTGTAACATGCTCAAAACTAGCTTTTGAAATGTTTCTTAGTATTTTACATATTCCATTAAACCTATTTCTGGAACAACTTTGAATTGTTCCAGTGTTTTAAAATCCTTTGGTTCCGCCAGGAAGTCCAACAGTTCATCAACTTTTTTTTTTGCTTTTAACCCCAATTATGGAAAGAGCATGTTTTCAATCATAAGACTGTTTGCATCTGATCTGAAGATCTCCAGTAAATTATGGTGCTGCATATTTAAAGCTAATCATTTAAAACTTACAAAGCAAACGTATTTATTTTACTTTAATCCTGTGCAGAGCGAGCATATTTTTTGGCAAACACAATGCACAGGGGGATCTGTGGTCTGAAATCTCTTTGTACCAGCAGCTGAGAAGCTTCATTACAACTCCCTGTTTTCCAGACTTTACATTTCATTTGGCCAAAGGGGTCACATGACAGCTGCAAACTAATGCCCTGAGGGTTCTTTCTGCTTTCATTTGACACTGACAGCCTGTGAGAGACTCCAACACCACAGAAAGAAAATATTCCTTCTTTCCATTACATCACCCAGCCAGGAATGGGGGAGGGGGCACAGCTGGTGGCAGCCGCAGTACCATCTGCTCTTGTCTAATAGTTCATGCTGGTTTACTTATAGACTCCTACTTCTGCAGCTCAAGACATTAATATGTGTGGCTGCCACTGGTGGGTAAAGACAGGACTCTCGTCTTAAGTCATGAATTCTTGATTGACAATTTCAGCCATATTACCAGTATTAACTCCCACTTTGTTTTTTTGGCTGTTTGTTTGGTTTCTATCCCACACTTCAGAACAGAAACTGGGGCAGCGCTAGTTCTGGATCATCCCCTCGAAACTTCCAACAGGGGAGGAAGGCAGATGATAAAGGCAGCGCTGAGCTGATTTTTTTTTCTTGTTCAAATTTGGTTTGAACTGATGAAAGAGCATTTCTCTGTGATTAAACATACGGATTATACCTTCTCCCTGCTATGACAATGGGGAAAACCCGTCCGAGCCGTGGTTCAAGAGTAGTAGTTATGTGTCGGGCCGGGCGGTACCTTTCACTACTCACCGTACATCTTTCCTTCATCGGACAAGATGATTTTCCTCCTACCGCACGGAGGGTAAATAGCTAGCGCTTCCTGGAAGCTCTGCTCAATGTCGGGGCTCCAGACGCCCTCGGCGTCGTTGTCGATGGGCTTGTCGGCAGAGTCGCTCATCCTCTCCATGTCTTCGGCAGGGCTCTCGCTGCCGCTCCAGCTGCTGGGATCAATGGTGATGGCTGGCTTCTCCAAGCCTGCGCCTGGAGCCGACTACAGAGAAACCTAGAAACCCACGGACACAAAACAAACAAAGGATCACCGACCAGCAAAAACCCAGCTGGTCTTCAGAAAGGACTGCTCGTCAAGGCTCTGTTGTCCAACAAAAGAAAGCAAGGTGGTGGTGGTGGTGGTGGTGTGGGGGGTTGACACATTCTAGAGAGCCGGTTTAAGATTTATCCAAATTCTAATGAGTTATGTTTTCATTCCAATAGGAGGATGCAGTACTGAAGGCAAAAAGTAAAAGATTTACCCCATTGTTTAAGGAAATCCCATCACTGATGTTAAATTCATAATTTATAAAAAAGTCTGTAAAGCCATCTGTTGCCCATATTTATACATTTTTTAAAAGAAAAAAAACCTAAAAAAAAAATCCAGACATATCTCACTATAAACCAAGGTTTAACGGTAATGGACACAAACCAGCACAAATAGAAAATGGGAAAACATAACTGAGTACAAAACAGTTATAAATCATTAACCCAGCAGAGAGGATATTTACTACAATGACAATGTAACTTAGCAGCAAAAGCCTTTACCAACATAGCCAAATCCATGCCAGACGCCCGGTGTTGTCAAACAGCCTCTTAATATCTTACTAGAAAACTGCCACAGTGGTTTACTTAATGAAAGCATGTCCAGGTTCCCAAACAATTTTAAATATGTTAAAATGCCCTAGAACTCTAAAAAAAAGAAAATTGGAGGACTTTTCAAGGAAGAACATCTCCACAGACTGCACAAAGTGGCGATCAATTTTTTTGTTTAGATATTTGAAATTCCCTAGACATGGAAAGGGACAACCAGGACTTATGTTACTTTATTTAAAATTTTAATTCTGAGGAAGAGTCTAAATTACATCAATGAAGGCATTGTACCCTAAAAAAAGAAGGTATTATACAAGTTTTGCCAAGTTTACAAAATGCAGGATTTATGCATACGAGAACAGCAATTTCATGGTGGTGTCATAATCAGCGATTTAGCGATCGAATTACAAACGTAAAGGATGCACTTAGAAACCAGAAGCTGAACAGTGCAGCCTAATACCCTGGGCTCCGGTGGAGTTCCCCCACTGTTCAACACGAAATGGGTTCTGTGTTCTTTCATTCCACATCCCATGGAAAGGCATGTTAAAAAAGACATGTTAAAGTCAAACAGGCTAAGAGACAGCAGTGTATAAGAAGTGTTTTTTTTTTAAGCAATGTGTTCAAACAGGTATCACTGGAGACTTTTTTAGCTTAGTGGATGTGCTGGTTACTGGTTAAGATCTGTTTCATACAGCACACTCCGGAGTGAAGTGGGACTAGGAGCATATGTTTCTTCTAGAATGTCAGCTCATGTGGGGGGGATGGGAGCAAGCTGTTGGAAAAAAGCTTGCACTGAGCGGAGGGAGCTTTTACTGAATTCCGTTTTTGTGTGCTGAATGCTGACACTGCAGATCTGGCTTGCGGACTGATGAGGGAAAAAAAACCCTTCCATTCCAACCGCTAAATGGCTCAGACTTTTTTTTTTCTAACTGAATAATGAACTACAGCTAATCACTTCCAGCACGACGATGCATATAATGTGGTTGTTTGACTTCATTCTGCGTCTTGAAACACAATGTTTTTTCTTCGGTAACTCAAACCATTTTGAACAGGGGCTTGAGAGCTGGAATGTTTACTTCGAAGGATCTTTGAAAATTGTATCTCCTCAGGCTTAGAAGTGAGCTTTCACATGCAATTGTTAGTCATTCCTTGAGGTTACTGCCTCAGAAAACCCTAACCTCCTATCAGAAGGGTCTTTTATATTCGGAGAGCAGACAGCTTGACTGCAGAGAGGAACACCAGCACTTCAAAGTGCTTTGGTAAGGTTCAGCTATACATGTCCCAGTGGAAAGCATAAACAGCTGACGTTCCCTTCATTTCCACAGGTGGTTTTCCCCATAGATCATACTAGGAAATGGAGACTCATACAGAGAAGCAAATTATGAATTACTAAACCTCATTTTAAAACCAAACTCAGGCTGTACATTCAACCACAGCTCACTGTACCATTACTGGTACAGCCTGAGACTGAAAACATTTTTTCAACAGTAATCATAGTAAAAATATAGCAGACATTTAAGTTTTTTTTTTCCTTTTTAAGGTTACATGTTTTCAAGTATAAAGTGTTTTCCACTTTATAATGTATAACAAATGAACAATCTATCTAGAGTTCCATTTTTTTAAAAAATAAAGCAAGTTCTTCTAACCATTTCTGCATTAAGAGAAAAAAAATAACTAAAGCTGTGCTGTTGATTTACTTTTTAATTTAGCTCTTTCTCCACAGCAAGAGGACATAAATAGAAAGCATCTGCTTAAAGTTGGTAAAATAAGTAGCAGTAATCACTCTGTTATTTAGAGTGACTTCAAAAAACAGGTGAGCGCAGAAGATCACAAGTCTTCACAACAACCTCTTTCTCACCTCCAGTAAAGGTATTCTAATTATAAAATGAACGTATGGATCAATCAAACCACACTGGAGGGTCTTGGATGCACATCAAGATCTTATTTCCCTCACATATTTTTTCTGCTCATGTTCATATTCAGATGCGTTATCTATCAACCTTACAGTGGACTTTATTTGCATATCTGCCTAGCAGAGCAATTTAACAGAACAAACTATGCAGGTGATGTGTACACACTTTATTACAGGAATGGCATAAACAGACTTCAAAAGTTTGTGGGTAAGGGAGTATGCAATTTTTTTAGGAATACTTGTCAAAGATCAAAAACTTACAAGAAACAAAATGGATTTTTAAGTTGCAGATTTGTACAAATCATTATGCATTTAATAGAAATTGTATTTCTATATTTCATGCATGAAGGAACTTCAACCACTAAGGTGGGTTGTATGCACCTTTTTCCTTTTATTAAAGTTAATAAAGTACAGAAAATGCAGTCATTTGATACCTTGTCAGATTTCAAGGGAAATTAAGTGATCTTGGGTTGCCCCCGCAGTCAAATTAACAAAACAGCCAACCCCATTTCTGATTTCAAGGCATATTGAATACAGTATGACTGCAACTAAGCTATGCTGCTTGGAAGCTGCAATTTATTAACCCATATATATGTGAAAGAACATCAGAAAAATCAATACTCAACAAACTACTTAATCATGGTACATGGCTGAAGTCACTCCAGGGTAATTTACTCCAGAATAAATCACCTTAAATAATTGACTCCTGTCACTATTTTATATGCATCGTTCCTCAGGAGAGCAGTTCTTTAAAACCAGATCTATGCTGACTAAAAGACTATTATGATGATGATTTCCTAATAAATTATGATTGCTATAAGAAATGAAATTCCATTAACACATCGTACCAGGGTATAAGGACCTTTTCTTTGTGGATTCATTTAACTTTAACCTCCTCCTAAAATCAGCAATTGTTCTTTAATATCTCTTGACAATTTTTTCATGCTGTAAATGGAGATGAAATTGTTGAATTGAATGAAAAAATAAGTTTGTTGTACGAACAGTCAGTTCAGACCCCACTCCCAGTCTCTTTGTGGAATTACCGTCCCAAATTTAAGAAGTCTGACAACTTCAAATTAAAACTGACTTGAGTTCAGGCAGACAGTTCTCTTCAATCAAGCCAGAACACAACGGTCCTTAAGGGACTTTGTTGGAATTTGAAAAAAATAAAATTAAGGTTTATTGTATTTTTACAACCACAATCTATTCCAAGCCTCACACTCGCATTATATTTAAATTTGTATTATATATATATAGGTGACATTTAATTCTCAAATTGGTAATGCAATTCACTTGAATGCATTCCCTGCAAACTTGGAACACAAACTGTACCAACAGGATGTCTACAGCAGCCACACTACCTACATATGCTGCTATTATGGCACTTATTACTTCCCATGTTCATGTAGCACTTGCATTACAGTCGTGATATACAATTGCTATACTTGCCTGCAATCAAACTGTGTCCTTTTACACCCCCTCTTAACACATTTTGCAAACACTTAACCTGGATTAGACAAATAATGAGCCTTACATAATTTCTTCACAGAACCGAGTTTAAATTAAGATGGATTTAAAATGTTGGGCACTGTATTAACATTAGCATATAGTGCTTTATTCTTCCACAATTAATAGCTCATTAGCATTTGGATCTCGAGTACCTGAAGAGATCTGACTCTAAAGCATATCCTCAATTACATTTCCTCATCTAAACTGAGAAATTATTACAAGGTTGCACAGGCTAATATGACACATGGTTGAATTATACACCAATGGTCTTTCAATTAATATCAGTAACTTAAGTAACACTTAATTTGCAAAAATTTCCAAAAAGGTCTCACTGCACATCTTTAACATTAAATCAGGAAAAAGTTGAGCCTAAAGACCATTTTGACTCCATCAATCACATACTTCCATGCGTTATACAGTACATGGGCACACACTGAACACTGCTACAGCCATAAGGTGGAGATAAGGTTTAGGATGTTGATATCCACAAAAACAAAATGCTGTGATTTGTGCAATATGCCTGTAAATGAAGCTGAAGTGGAGCTGTTTGACTAAACCTCAGTGGCAGATGGAAATAAGAGATTAGTCATGCAACAATATATTGTGACAACAGTTATCTTGCACTGTAGCCTCCAGGCGAGGATAACATTCCAAGCAAAGGCAAAATATAGTTTTCACAGAAATGATGGCATTTTCACAGCAAGCACCATCTCTTCCCCTTGCCAGCTTTCAGGGATTACCATGGTACATACACATGCCTTAAAGCATGGAAATAAAAAGCAGCAAGCTTAATGGTGAAACCACAAGTGCCCAAACACATGCAGAAAGCACCCATTTCTTCCTCACCGACTTCCCCTGGTCAAGAAGTCTGAAGCACATGGAAACCTTTAGAAGAAATGTATAGACTCTTTGCTCAGAACAAGGCATTGCTTCCTTCTATGAAACACTTCCAAAGAAAGCAAGATATAGCAAATGAGAAAATGATTCAGGTTCTACATCTG